AAAGAGTCCGGCGCTTTCCAAAAGATAGATTAATTCAATGTGCAGGAAAACACTTCAAACTGAGAAAGCGATACTCTGAGTTGTAACAGGCTCCAAAACTTTAGTGCCAAGCCACAAGCCCAATCAGTGCCCTTGGGGGGCGGGGGGAATAAAACACCGAACAAATGATGTTAAGATACAGGTCTCACCAGTCAGCTGGATCTGTTAAAGGCAATTTTATGCCTTGGTTCAGTGGATGCAATTTTGAAAGCAAAAGGAGCTTCACAGTTAAAAATAGATAGAGCCATGAGTAAAAATACCCAAATCCCAGGACTTTGGGAGGAGCTTGAAGCTGGGCATTTGTGCAGGCCATGAGAGGAATTTTTAGAATTCTTACTTCCAGCAAATGCCCCTGAGTTCACAGATTTCTCCTCCGCTGCTTCACCTGCGCAGCCCTCAGCTCGCAGTGCTCCCACCAGCAGCTTTCACACCCAACACACAGCCACCAATTCGGAGTTACAAACAGAACCTGAGAAACATCGGACACACCTTCATCAAGTTGTTTTTTCTGTTCAGCCTTAAAAGAATTGCACAGTGCAAATTAACATGAGTTTTAGTCTTCACTGGTTAGAACTGCATAACCTGCAGCAAAGTTACTGCCATGAATTACATACAGTGAGTTTTCCAAGTGTGAACTACAAAGTACACTGATTAAATTCACTGACATGCTGTAGAGGGTACAGCCCAGCAATGGGGTTACCTCTACCACAGGGTCAAGCACTTTTATAAGACTTCCTAAAAAAAAGCTGTGGCTTTTTCCCCCAAAGGATTTCCAGTTTGAGATTTACAGTCCTCACATTTACATTTAAGATTTACATTTCTTCTGAGACAAGAAACGCAAATTGTATCAAGCAGTAGGAAACACAGGAACATGGCACTGCAAAGGCCAAACAGTGAATAAGACCTTCATAACTCATGGACAGTTCTGATAGAGGGATGGCAAAAGGGAAAGGAATCATTCTAGAAGAATGGAAGTCATTCTTTCCTGCTACACTATTTGCATTATGTTTTTTTTAACGTACACCAACCCAGCACCTTCAAGGGAGGTGCCCAGTTCACTCTAACCCTCAGGCTTCATTCCACAGCTGATCAACTTATTTTTCCCCCCCTCATGGTGTAACTTTGCAGCGAAACTTAAACATGTTTGTTCCATGGGAACACATTGATGTCATCCAGCTGATAACTGAAGCACTCAATTATCACCAGAATTATTCATAATACGCATTAATATGATTGTCAAAGGCAGGTGCTTCGATCTTGATGAAACAAAACTCACTTTATTGGGATTGGTTTGCTTCCAGCATTTTTTCCTCCTCAAAAAATTCACAAGAAATTTTGCTATTTCATCCTGGGTCGGGACGAAAGGAAGCTTAAGTGTCAGAAATTCCCACAGAAACAAGATCTCATGTTATGACCAGGTCAGGCTCTTCTCTAGTATTCAGTCATTCATTTATTTTTGTTTCTTTCAACTCATCAGCTGCCTTCGCAGAAAGAAAAGTGCTTCCTGCCACTGTGGTGAACTCGCTGACCTTGGTTGAGTTTAGTCGCTCTGCTGTGTCTCATGAAAGTTACAGCATTAGTCCTTTTGTATGTTCAAAGAAAGAATTTGTAAAGAGGGAACTTTGCACATCTCACAATGTTGCTTTCGCAGGGTATGCAGAGAGATGGATTTCATCATTTAAACGTTGCACATATAAACCACTACTACACAGTTCAGTCCAGGGGAACACATACAAATCGCAGACAAAATAAATCCTATGAAATTCATACAAGTGATACTAGTCAACCTTAAAAACACTTATCAACTAAAAATTATTCACCAGAAAAAAAAAAAAACAAACCCATGAACAGGTACCTATTACCAGTGAGCCTTAATAAAAATGAAAAGCCAAGCCCTGGCACCCCTGTGGAAGAGAAACACAAGCAGCTTTCTGCGAGCCTGGCAGAAACACTTGGAATAACAGTGCATTGCTCCAATGCAACAGCTATTTGCAGCCTCTCCCAGAACATAACCAAAATCTCCGTACAATTACAAATCCAAAGTGCTACATCTTGGCCCCATGATGGGAAAAAAAAAATGTAGGATTTCACTGTATAAAGTTTGCTCCTTTGAGCATTTTTGATGCCACTCCCTACCTTCCATCAGCTTCCACATGGGATGAATTATTTACACCTCATTAGAAATATAACAGCAGGCATTAAGAGCACTGGGAGACTTAAAAGGGAAAACAAAGCAACTTCAGGTTTTAAACAGAAGTCCTGTATTTTAGGTGTTATGTCCTGTAAAAGGGCTTATTGCCTTCTGAAGAGCGACCTATAAAAAAAAACCCCTGTGTGTTGCAATGAGTTCTGCCTCCTGGTGGAAAATCCACACCTTTCATTCCAAGATGCAAATCCAAACATAGATATACCAAAGGATCCCGCACCCTTCAGTGCCACACAATGCAACATGCATTTCTGCCTGACACAAAAGTCGTTGTCACACAGCTGCAAAGCCCTGTCCCGTAACCCCCAGCTCGCTGGCTTGACCCACTGCCCACTGCTGTGCCTCCACCAGCAGGACAGGGCACTTAAAAAAAACAAGAGACCTTATCACAAACAGACATGGTTCTTTCCAATTAAATATGGGACTGGAAAAGTTAAACATGTCCAAAGATGTTTGCTAAGATGGCAAGACTAGATGCAGGCTCTGTCCTCCAGCTAGAGGGTGGCACAAGGACTGGAAAGGCACCACAAGATTCATGGGAAGGGCACGGTCCTGAGGGAAAAGACAGTTGGAGAGGAATCAGACTCAGGATAGGGAAATGGTATATCAGGAAGAAGAGGAAAAACAAGTCTTACAGGTTCTAAATGTACCTTCCAAAAATCTTGTCTCACTTAATAGTCTACAATAATAATCATAATTCTTGATTTCTGGAAAGAAGAGTGAAGTCTGTAAGAACAGGTATGAAATAAGAGACCAGAAGACTAGCATTGGGAAAAAAAAACACCAAACAAACAAAAAACCAAAACCACCAAAACACACACAACATCCTTTTCTGTTGACATATGATACATCCACACCAAGGACTGTTTCCAACATAACCGTACTGATACAGCTTGTGACAGCACTGACTACAACAGAGGTCTCCTCCAGGCACATCTGTATCAGCTAAAGCAACTGTCTTACCAGTCTTCCCTGCCCTGTCCCTCAGCTTGCACGACTGCTTCCAAGATTTCCAGTTCATCCCGCTTCGGGCTGGGTTAGGACAGTCAAACATGCACTCAGCCACATGGCTCAACCAAAGTGGACTAGGGAGCATCCAGACGAGCAGTTTGACTGGCAGATCTTTGGTTAAGGCAGAGTTGCAAGTGACTTTACCATCAGACACAGCAATTTCCTCCTGATGAACCTATCCACTGTTCACCACAGTCCTTTTGAAAACCATCTTACACACTGATAACTCAGTGAGGTTTGTGCAGTCCACTTCCAAGCCTATGAACTTGCCGTTTTAAAAATCTGACTAGCTTATGCCAAAATTGTATCTAATCTATTAATTCTGAGGACTCAACAGCCAAAGGATTTATTCATGTTGATTGTCATTATTCCAGAGAACTGCATTTTAAGATAAAAAGATGTAATAAACTCTGGGTTGTTCGGGTTTTTGTTTTAGTTTGTTTGGTGGTGGTGGTGGTTTTGGTGTTGTTGGTTCTGGTTTGTTTGCTTTTTTAAGAACTGTGAGGTTTCTTGAAGCTAACATTTTTATGTAGGTTTCTTCTTGATCATTAAACCAAACGGATACACAGTTACACTTAAAGTTTATTCAACACTACCAGGAAAGTTACCTGCAATTTGCACTGAGCCATCTTCTCCAAGAAGAATATTTCCGGCTTTCACATCCCTGCAGAAAGATAAAGCAACAATAAGTGGAAGTCATTAAATCTTTCCTTCAACCAACAAAAATACATTAAAAGGTTATTCTTTCTTATATTTTATTTCTTGCATTAGCACTTCCTGCTTCCAATCATGCACAAACAGTAGGGACTTCACACCAATTGTAACTCCAGCAGACAGACACTAAGTGGTATTTGTATGATTTACAGCTAATAGCATTTTAAAGTACTACGCACAGAAAAAAAATTGAAAAACTTATCAGAAAGTACCCTCAAAAATACAAGGAAAGTGTTTTTTCCCAGGTTCTTAAGTTAGCTAAAAACACAAACAGAACCTAGCACTGGTCTGATACTCATGTACCCTTTTAGGGGGGGTAGACTTCAAGAGAGCTGATCTAGTCTCACTGCCACTGGATGCATCCTATTCCTCCCCAGCCCCAAGTCTCGCTGATCTCCAGCCATGGAGGAATTCACCTGCTTCCTCACAAAGTCAGTTTAGCCCCACACACTGGTGAAAATCCAGAGAGAAGAAAAACTTTGTTTGCTCGTGGCTTAACGAATTGAACCACATTACCAAAGGTCAGATGAGCAGAGCTGGTAGAACAGAGACAGTGGAAATGGGAAAGTGGGACCACTAAACTGTCCTGTGAAGTCCCAGCTTTAGTGAAAAAAAGTCTCCCTCAGGTTTGTTTTTTTTTGACCAAAGTCAACAAGCACACAAGAACATCCAGCACGTGCTTTGAAAGTTATTGTACTATCCCTTTTCTACCCAAAAAAGCTCTGGTTTGTTAACAGTGGCACTTCTTCATCCGAGGGGAACATTACTTTCACTCCAAATACACTGTGAAGTTTTACAGCTTATTTTCACAGGCTGCTCCCCACACAAAGCCAAGAGCAGCACCTTTATAGTTGAACATGTGCTCATCAGCATGGCTGCTAAGCTTGGCTAGGAAACCATGCCGATGCAGAGCACATGCAGATGCTGTCTTAAGAAAGGCTCCAAGCAAAGCAACTGCCTGGACAATGGATGCCAGTGAATAGACATCAATTCACGACCCACCTCACCTTAATGGCAACCACCTGCATGGAAGAGAAAAGAAAAAAGGAAAAAAAAAAGAAGAAAAAAAAACAAAGCAAGCAGATCCTCCCTTCACTGCCTTCTGCAAATATTCCAAATCCTGTCACACACACACAAAAGTCAACAGCTATTTTTTCTCTCCTCCCTCGTGCATCATGAGAACAGAACTGGCGCGATGGCCTGGCCAAAGAGCTCCGGTTGGGCCCTGGAAATCTCCTCCTTCCTGGCTTTGCTCTTCTGAAGAAAAGCCTGGGCTGCTGCCAGTTCCAGGCCAGGATAATTTTAAACACATCCTCTCCAGCATTAGCATTTGTCAGATTCTTCCCAATACCCAGCCTAGGACACTGGCATGGCAAGGCCTTCCCCCAGCATACAGCAGAATAGAAGTGAACAAAGACTGTCCGTAAGACAGCCCCACTAAAGATTAATAGCAAACCACAGCTGACAGCAGCCTTTAGCCTTCAGACAAGTATTTCAAGTCCTGCCAAATATACACGTCTTGCTAGAAGTGACCATCTTGAAGCCTAATCCCTGTTTGAAGCACAAGTGTATGAGCAAGTACAGGAAAACACTAATTTGCTTTAATGATCAATAACACTTAGATCTATATGGAAACACTGAAGTTGTATAGCCTTGAGAAGCTGACTTAACAGCAGAATGGGATTCAAAGCAGTAAGAAGCTGTGACAGTGATGCTGGACAATAAGTAGACAAACATAAAACAACTGCTGCCAGTCAGCTCCAGTCCTGCTTATTTTACATTGGCCAAATACGTGAACATGTGTTTAGGGCAAGTCAGCTTTTGCTCCAAGAAGCATTACTTTGTTTTCTTCCTGCAATTAACAGTTGCAGCCATTGCAGACGAGAAAGCATTAGCACTGCATTGGATGGAGAGTCTTAAGTAGATGGAGGGATCTCAAGGGACTGTTTACAACACTAAGTGTTTAGATATGCTACCCTCCCCCACCCCCCCTTAGCATCCTCTGGCCAAAAGCAATACAATTGGGGTTGCAGGGAATTAATCGACACAAGAGATACAAACCTGACTAACCCCTGCACTCCTATAAACCATTCATGGTCCGTGACAGTGAGGGAATGGAAAAGCTCCCTGCCAATATTTAGGTAGAAGATGCCTTTGGGATCCAGCCCCATGAGCACGTGGAGCCATGAGAGCGCAATGTCCAAGTCTGCCGCCTCCTAGGTAAGAAGCTGGCTCACGTGGCACGAAATACACTTGGCACAGGCACAGCCATCTCCAGGACCACCCCCCCTCACAGCAGCACTAATGCAGAGGGAACAGAAGGTGTTCAGGAAACTCTCGGATCCTACTGGAAATGTTTAGCCAGACAGTCGGTTCTCTTACGACAGCCGGGACGCATGAGGCGCTTTCAAAGCTGCCTGCCAGTTCCAGGCTACGGGGAAAGGAATAGCATGCACCGAGGTTGCCTGCGGAAGTTATTGTTCTTCCTACTGAAGATGGACATACGTAACAGTAATTTCCTCTTCCATCTGTACTCCAAGGCAGCCCAAGATGCTGGAGCATTTCCCCAGTAAGCTGGGTCATGTGATACTGTACAGCCTTTCCAAACTTCCCCTGCCGGCACGACGGTGCGTGCAGCTCACCAAGCCCCCCAAAGCAGACCACATTCAGCGATGAAGGAAGTGCTAGGGAAGTTTTTAAGCAGAACTAAGGATGAATTTAACCATTGTGTGCTTTAGCATCCAAAAAAAAAAAAAAGCCAGCCTCAGGCAGGTTTCACTGATGTAGCAGCAGCCAGAAAGCAGCATGAATTCAAGACCACCAGACAATCCTCCCATAACGGAGCAAGCTGGACAGGCTTGGAGCGTGAAATGTAGTGAAACAAGCACTCAGATTGAATCCCATAGGAAAAAAAGCCAAAGGACTTCAGTCCCTTAACCCTCTCCAATGCAGAGGCTTGTTTTCTTTTGAACTTCATCTTGGATTAATTAAAAATTACATATTTTCTTGTTGGAAACAAAAGTCAGTAAATATGGTGCTTCAATCTGGTTCAAGAAATTAAACCAAGTCGTTGCTACAATAAGAAGTCCAGGAGGCCAACCACGGCCACTGCCAAATATCCAAGTCACACTGCGGAATTAAATCACCACTTGATGTGGCATTTCCTCCTGGTGACCAACCCTCTGAAAAGGCCATTACTCACCCCAGAGTGGTATACTCCACCCCAGAGCAGAAAAAAAAAAGGCATCAACAGCAAGCTGTTTGGGGACAGGACTGTTTCGGAGTTAATGTACCATAGAGGCAACTTCCAGCTTTGCCATTCCTCACCCCTGTGTATTGGGATCACATCGCCCACTGCAACAGCACCAAGTGAACATCGAACAGCAGTTACACTGGGTGAACACAGATTGCTTTCTTTGGCGTATACTGGTATCACCAGCAGTATCTTCAAGTTAGCTCCTCCTTTAAAACTATTTTTAAGATTAATTGCATTTAAAGCAATAGGGCAGGGGGGAGAAGAACGGTGCTTTCCTGTTTATTCTCACCAGGAGATGCTTATAAACTCACAAGCTGAATGGCGAGAAGTTTGTTACTCCAGGATATACTTATTGCCAAGTATAACAATTTGAAGGCACTTCCTATTAATGTGGTAATGACCATATCCTGGGCTGATACACTTGGAATAAATGGTCTGCCTCTGGCATAATTACTATACTGGAAACAGGAAGCAGCTTTAGGCTGTAGTGTAAATAGTAATTATATTACATTTTAAATGAAGTTGCAGAAGGCTAGAATAAACTCTTTCTTGCCAGCAGCTTAACAAATGCTACCATAGTTCTGGACTTTCCCACTCTATACCTGTCATCTTCCTCTCTTCTAAAGCCTCCAAGAGCCCTTCCGCAAAAACAACAATTATGTTTTTATTTACCTCGTACTTCACAACCAGAGTGGGAAGAGAGGTTTGGACTCGCTCCAGTGCAAAACTGGATTCTCCACATCAGCCTTGAAAGGTTTCGCACCAGGGCAGAAATCCCTCATCTGCATTCCAAACTGGTTTAGCTTCCCAGTGTGACCAAATGCTAATGTACCAGTTACATCACGTTACTACCTCCAAGTAGGGCTGGGCCATAGGCATTTGATGCTATATAACCAAAACTGATCCCCAGTCCAACAAAATTACAATCAAGCATCCAGCTACGGGAGACGTGGGAGCACAGGAAGGCAATGAGATGATGCTCCCCAGTTTCAAGTGCAGTGTTCCCACAACTCCCACAGTAACTTTTTCAACTGGGATGGGGGGGGGACCTATAGCAACTGTTATCTTAATATATCTTTATTGTTGCCACTATGAAAAGCCTACACAAGCCCTTAAAATCCTGCTAAATGAGCAGATTTGCCCTCACCCACAGCCATCAATCCTTGGCACCACCATATATTGGTTGTCGTCGCAGTGACAGCACTAAAGGGAAAAGCAAGACTTACTGCTCCGTAATGGGGAGCAGCGTTATCAATAACCAGCTGCAACTCTGCAACCCTGGCATAAGTAATAAAACTTCATTCTACAGACTTAAAAGAATTGTGTTTGGAAGAAAAGCAACGAAGCATGTTAAGTTATTGCTTTTTAAACAAGCCTCTTAATATTGTTTGGAAATCAAGAAAGATTCACTTGGCTTGTGTTCAGAAGTCTCCATTAGGAGCAATAGCTAGGACAATTTAAGGCCACTGCAACTGCGACACAAGTGACCTGAGCAAAAAGTGGCATCCCAGGACTTCTTCAGCCTAAGTCTGAGAAGAAAACTGTCACATGAAGGGGGAAAGGGAGATAAGCCCTGTTTATTATGTCTTTGCTTCCAACCTGCTTGTATGTGCCTTTAGGATGCAATGCTGGCTGTCAGCACAGCCCTGAGTCATCTGCCCATTAGATGCAATTTACATCGACTGTAACAATAA